TTTCGAAAAATAGAGACGTAGTAGCCTACCGGAGTGCTTCTATTGGCAATAAAAGCGAAAAGTTGACTTTGAGCGTCGATATCTCGAAAACTATCTGTCCTATCGGGCTGATTATAGTTTCATTCGATTCAGCGTGTCATTTTCTACTGGAAAAACGATAATTCGCGTGGATTTTCGCCGTTTTCTGGCACTTTCGGCCGTCCGAAGATGGCTCGGTGACTTTATCGTATGGAAGTCTTAGGTGAGAAAATGAAAATTGTTATTTGGCCTATTAAAAATCTGAAAAAATTCGAATAGACTAATTCAATGTCGAAATGAACGAATCCGTGGTGGAAATTGGGAAATTTCGAAAAATAGAGACGTAGTAGCCTACCGGAGTGCTTCTATTGGCAATAAAAGCGAAAAGTTGACTTTGAGCGTCGATATCTCGAAAACCATCTGTCCTATCGGGCTGATTATAGTCTCATTCGATTCAGCAGGTAATTTTTTACTGGAAAAGCGATAATTCGCGTGAATTTCTGCCGTTTTCTGGCACTTTCGGCCGTCCGAAGATGGCTTGGTGACTATATCGTATAGAAGTCTTCTGTGGGAAAATGAAAATTTTCATTTGGCCTACTTAGGATGTGAAAGAATTCACATAGACTAACTCGATATCGGAATGAACGAATCTGTGATGGAAATCAGGAAATTTTGGATGATAGAGGCGTAGTAGTCTGCCGGAGTGCTCCTATTGGCAAAAAAATCGAAAAGCTGACTTTGAGTGCCGATATCTCAAAAACCATCTGTCTTACGGGGCTGACTATGGTCTCATTCGATCCAGCAGGTCATTTTCTACTGGAAAAGCGATAATTCGCGTCATTTTTTGTCATTTTCTGGCACTTTCGTCCGTCCGAAGATGGCTCGGTGACTATATCGTATGGAAGTCTTAGGTGGGAAAATGAAAATTTTTATTTGGCCTTTTAAAAATCTGAAAAACTTCACATAGACTAATTCGATATCGAAATGAACGAATCTGTGATGGAAATCGGAAAATTTTGGAAAATGGAGACGTAGTAGTCTACCGGAGTGCTCCTATTGGCAAAAAAAACGACAAGCTGACTTTGAGCGCCGATATCTCAAAAACTATCTGTCCTAAGGGGCTGAATATAATCTCATTCGATTCAGCAGGTCATTTTCTGCTGGCAAAGCGATAATTCGCGTCAATTTCTGCCGTTTTCTGGCACTTCCGGCCGTCCGAAGATGGCTCAGTGACAATAACGTATGGAAGTCTTAGGTGGGAAAATGAAAATTCTTATTTGGCCTATTAAAAATCTATACTGAATAAATACCTACAGGATAAGCACAAGTTGAAATGTGTCTTCGTTATACAGTGTGACACACTTTAGATGAAGACACCCCTGTATTTTAGTCATTTTCGAAAGCAGAGATTTGATTTTCGGTACAGACGTAGACCTTCATGGGTCGCACTTTTCGCAATACTCAGCCCGAGGGACAGCCTTAAACCCAGCCCACTGCGATCCCGCGAAAAGGGCAAATTCCCGATATTTTGCGTCGCGTTGGAAATACCGAAAAAAGTTATTCGACAAAGTTGCTTAGAAATCGATTTCGACCCCACATACCGAATTTCAACGCAAAATTCGAATTTTGTTTTTTTTTGTAATTTTCATATCAAACTCCAATTTTCAATTAATGATTCTGAATGAGAAGCTACAGAAATGATAAAATAGTCAAAATCAATGAAATTAACGTATCGAAATGAATATAATCGAAAATCATTATTTTTTCAAACGTAAGTTGGAAAATCGTCATTCTCAATGTTTCAAAGAAGCAGTCGATCTCATATTTTGTGTTTCAACAGTTTTCAATTTGGGCTAGAGCGTCATGAAAACAAATGAACTAGTTATACCAAATGTCAGTTTGAAAGTAAATGCGTCAAAACATAACATAACATAACACCAATGTTTAAGGCTGTCACTCGGGCTGAGTATTGCGAAAAGTGCGTACCGAAAATCAAATCTCTGCTTCCAAAAATGACTAAAATACAGGGGTGTCTTCATCTTAAGTGTGTCACACTGTATAAGAATTTTTCTATTATAGGTACATAAAATCTAACAAAATGACATGGATAACAATATTCTTGTGTAAAACATTGGTAACATTCAAACTTAAACGAATTTCATAATGAAAGTATAGGGTAAACATAGAATTTCTATAAAAATGTAGTAACTTCATCATGACTATCACAGAGAATAATCTAGAGAAATCGAAATGTCAACTCCAACATGGAAAAACTATATCAAATCCGAATAAGCTATTCAACAAATAAATAAGAGAAGATTGGACGACAATTTCTATTTCCTCCTGTATATACAGTGTGATCCACTTCTAATGGAAACACCCCATGATATTAGGAGTCGAAATTGGTCGAAAATCACTTCAGATTCGGAATGAGGACCCTCAATTCACTAACTATTCATATTTTTCCTGAAAATTGATGATGAGATACGGGGGTGCTTCCATGAAAAGTGAGACAAAACTTAATTTTTCTGAACTGAAAATTGTCTAGGAGAACTATGAATAGTTAGTGAATTGGGCGAATTGATTCCGAATCCGAAGTGATTTTCAACATATTTCGACTCCTAATATCATTCTCCGTGAATCGGGGTGGTTCCATGGCTGTTGGCGAGCAGTGTATATCACTGAAGATGACCCCACTTGGTCATAGAGTGCATTTTTGCTATTTCTCTCGCTCGAGCAGATTTCGGGATCCTTACCCAACGATTAAGTGGGTCACACTGTATTCTAAAAGCCAATAAATTAGGTGGATATGTGATGAATCAATTCAAAAAAGTGCTTTTATGAATATTCTGGCGACTTTGGAAAACGAATTCCACTGGAAGTAAATAGAATAATTTTCTTATTCCTCTGTTGCTCCGGTATACACCCTGTATAATGCGAACGATGTTTAACCTTGTGATTGTTAAACATTCATTGGTATCAACCATATTTAACTTGAGAATAGTTAGACATTTTTTTCAATTGAGTTCTTTTCTACCTCCAACGAGAGAGACAGAATTTTTGTCCTCTTCCATCTTTCTCTTCAATGATACCAACGTGATGGCCGCATTGAAATATAGAGAGGTCCGATAAATCTTTCCTTGTCTAACCTCTAGTCTGCGCCACTGAACTATTTTCGATATTACAATGACGTGATATGTCTATGTCATTGTTAGCATCTAGCAACTAGATGCGCTACTGCTCAGTGGAATGTGCTTAGATCTGAGCCTATGACAGACGTGTGTGAAGACTGGCTCATATAGTATTCGGCCGGCAGCCGAGTTAAGAGCAAGTGCGTAACCCTTGTCCATGTCATTTGTGCTCGTGTTCATTGAATTATGACCATAATATAACAGTCATGAATGTCATTGACTGATGGCATTTAGAATTTTCGAAATGAAATTTTGATTTATATCATACCTATTTTGACATAATTTGTTAATATCGTTAAATTTGACACTCTGCTGAATTGAAAAATAGTTCAGCGGCACAAAGTAGATGTCTTTTTGTCAATATCAATAATAAAAACGGAGAGCCCAAGAAGTTGTGTTCATCAACAATTCAAAAGTTTTTGATAATATGGAATTACTTTACAGTAGGGCGCCGATTTTATTCACAGTTGACTTTTGACACCTCTGTAGCCAACCTCACAATATGAAATGTCTAACCTCTGAAAATCAATGAACTCAATACAACTGGAAGGGAGACGGCCGTTCTCTCGAATAGCACAAAGTGTGTCAGGGGCAGCTGCAACAAAGATATCATGATTCACGGTAACCTGTCTCTTTCCTACTCGTGTTGTTCAACGGTGGATTGGTGTCTACGTTTTCTTTTATTTAATAATTAAAGTACTTTACATTTTTTTCTCTCATCTAAACAGGCAAGAAAGTGAAGACATAAGTTCATTGTCTTTGTTTAGGTGATATATCTATTCATTTGGCGTGTTTTGTTTCATAAAAAGGACTGAATTTGTTGGTGTGAACACTATGAACTGATTGTTGAGAAGGTTTTGATAAACAATGGTGATTTATTGTGTCGCCTTTGGGTGCAATAACGAGCAAGACAAAAGGAAATTGTCATTCCATGGGTATGTTGAAATTGTTGAATATTGTCAGATTTTTGGAAAATATAGTTCTTGAAATGATCATCAGTTAGGTGTACAATGTTCCCAGTCTTAGAATATGTTCAAAAACCATACCTATATTATTTGTCAACGTTAAATGCCTCCATGACTTTTCCATAAACATATTGAATAATATTATTTGTTGCAGTTTTCCATTCAGACATTCTTGAATTATGGATTAAGGCAGTTCGTAGAGAGAGTTGGACTCCATCTAAAACCAGAGCAAGCTTTGTGGAGAGCATTTCCTGCCAACTGATTATTTATTTAGACATACCAGGTACTGCTAGGTTATTGAATCCAAATGCTGTACCCCGCGTATATTTCCATTTCCTATATGTTACCGAAAAATACTGATCCTTGAAGGAAAATAAGAAAACTCATAGGTACCTAGTTGATAATTAATGAAAAAAAAGTATGTTATTTGCACCTCTTTAAAATAAAGAAGATAACTGATTGCAACATCTTCCTTTTTTCCTATATGAATATTTTCATTTTATCACGTTTATTCTTAAATAAAAGCAAAAAACGAGAAAATATTTCAAATAATGCGAGCATCTCTGTGCGAGCGCTTCCCATTAGCGAACATAAGATAGAGAGAGATAGGTATCCGTAAACACTGTGGGTTGCCTGAAAAATATTTTTGCCTCACTCGTCGTTCACAGAGGGTCCCTTCCAGTTGTTTATATCGAGTTCATTGTTTTGTCAATATCAATAATAATTATAGTTTGGAAAACGGAGAGCCCAAGAAGTTGTGTTAGCTTAATCAACAATTCAAAAGTTTTTGATCCTATGGAATTATTTTGACAGTAGGGCGCCAATTTTATTCACATTTGACTTTTGACACCTCTCTGTAGCCAACCTCACAATATGAAATATGAAAATATGGACCGATAAGGAGCTGCACAAAATTATCTAGTGCCCTAGTGCCGTCTGGTCAATAAAGCATCGCCTGCGGCATTCCCCTTTTTGGAAGGGGAGCTTTGGGGAGTCTCCAAGGGTTTCCGAGAGACCGAGTTCCTCTCTTCCGAATTCCTTCTGTTCTCGAGGATGTCTCTGATATGCTGCACGATCAGCTCGATGGCGACTGAAACATTTTTGAGGCTTTCTAATACAAACTAGGGTTTGTTTCGGAAGCGTATCATAACTCCCACTTCGCGCTCAAGGGAGATTCCTCTCAACAATATACAGTGCTTTTCTTTGATATTAATTAAGCGATGATGAAAGGCACTAATTCCGAGTGATAACGGAGGATGAAAAAACTCCACCGTCCCGCGTGAAATCGATCGAATCACTCGAAATCATGCACTACCCAGTTAACACAGGATATCTTATGGATATACATTTGAAGTCCTATTCAAGAATAGCGGATACACAGAAACCATCTGCGAATCGTCCCGAATGCGCGACTTTCTTCTTATTATAATGACTTTTTTCTCATTATAATGACTTTTTGTCTCATAATGATGACTTTTTTCTCATTATAATGAATTTCTTCTCATCATATATAATGACTTTTTTTCTCATTATAATGATTTTTTCCCATTATAATGAATTTTTTCCCATTATAATGACTTTTTTCTCATTATAATGCTTTTTTTCAGTATATTGACTTTTTTCATTATAATGACTCACCTGAAGTCAAAATATAATGAGAAAAAGTCATTATAATGGGAAAAAATCATTATGATGGCTCTTCAAATTAAGAAAAGGGTGCTTTCATAGAATTGGGCTAGGAATTGTGGAATTATTAAAGGATTTCATTATGTTCCAGTTTTATTTATATCCATACAAATATAAAGATGAGATTTATCAGACCCTCATGGAAACACAATGTCGATGGCCTAATTCTAACAGGTCGTATCCCACCATTTTCATGAAATTGAGGTTTCGACGTTTTTTAACAATCTACACCTGTCAGACAATTTAATAGGTTATCCAAAAGATGATGAGGTAGACAAGATACACTTGAAAAGTCAGGAATATACGAAATTAGTTGTAATGATTGTAATAAAACATATACCGGGTGGTCCATTTAAGACTATCCACCCTCGATATCTGCCAAAATTATTATTTTACAAAAAAAATACGAAACAGGTCGATTTTCATATGGAGGGGGACACCTTTTGACGCCAAATAAATCATCCATACTTCAATCCTCTACTCCCCAGAGCAACCCCATCAATAATATGAATTGGGAATAAGGGTCGTGTTATAGATCATTACGAAGGTATTTCAATTCTTAAACTAGCAGTGGGAAGTTTTTTGAATTCCAACAAGTTGTTCTCGAGATATTCGAGTTCAAATGGTATGTTTTTTTGTTGTGAGTAAATAAATGTATATAATAGATTATTGAATAGGTATTCACAGAAGATGTTCAAAATGACCTCCATTGACTCCCAGACAGTGGTAGAATCTTTTTGTAAATTCCCTCCGCACATTTGAAATGTTTCTCTAGTTATCGTCTGGCATTCAACCCTAATCCTTCTCAACCTATCGTCCAGATCATAGTAGATTCCGTTTTATATATAACGGATTTCGGATGACCTCCAAGGAAAAAATCATTGGGTGCCTGAACGATGTGGAAAGAAAAATAAGGATTGGATGCCAGATGAATATCTCCAAATGTTCAAGAGAAAAGATGTGAACCTTGTTAGTTGCCTAAAGTATCTACTGATTGATGTCTACCGATTTTATCACCTATATTATTTGCTCACCGAGTACACGGTTTCGGTTTTTCTTGCCGACCTGAATGAAATGAATGAGAAACTTTGCTTCAATGACGAGTGTTCATTTTATTTGAACGGTTTAGTCAAAAGACATAATTTCGGTATTGGAGTCAGAATAACCCCCATCATCTACTGAGAGAAGAGCACACACAATGGCCCCAAAAGTTGAATGTGTGGGCAGGGATTTTGCGTAATCAAATCATTAGCCCAATATACATCCAAGGCGATTTGAATGGTATGGTCTATTCGGATATGCTTCAAAATCTTATCGAACCACTTATTATGGATGCTGTTACACGGACCTCGATGATGATGGTAATCCAAATTTATCTGTTCAATAATCTATTATTTACATTTATTAACTTACAATAAAAAAAATGCCATTCGAACTCGATTATCTCGAGAACGACTTGTTGAAATCTAAAGAACGTTCCACTGCTAGTTGCAGTATTGAATCACCTTCCCAATGATGTATAACACGACCCTTATTCCCTATTCAAATTATTAACGGGGTTGCTCTGGGTAGTAGAGGGTTGACGTATGGATTATTCATTTTGCGTCAATAGGTGTCCCTCTCCATATGATAATCGACATGTTTCGCAATTTTTTTGTAAAATAATAATTCTGGGAGATACCGAGGGTGGATAGTCTTAAATGGACCACACGGTATAGGCCAAACCAGGCGTCCCATGATAACAAGATTCAAAGAACACTTAGCACGTTTGAAATATGGTAGGTTAGATAAATCGTGTGTAGCCGAGCACATGTTCAATCACAATCATAACACACATATTAATAACCTCAAATTAGTTAAGAAAGTTAATAATGTTAGAAAATTAGATGCTTATGAAAGCTTAGAGATATTCAAGAATAGTAATAGAGTAATGAATGAGGATAATGGAAAACTACTTTTTTTGAACAATAATGTAGGTAATCTACACATGCATCGTGATATTGACTCCAGGAACGGTTTTCGCCTCTCCTGTAAAATCTAGTCTAAGTGGGATATGAGTTGTGTTAGAATTAGAGGCCATGGATATACAGGGTTTTCCAAAAGAACCGGAACGGCCGAATATTTCAGCAACGGCTTGACATAAAATTATGAAATTTGGTATACGGGGGTAATCAATTGTGCCGGATCTAAAAATAATATATGCAACGTTGCCAGTTTTACAGTTTTCCCATAGAGCCCTCAACTTTATTTTTTTAAATGTAATGCCATGTTTATTTTTAGCGCATTCGATTTGTCGTCTCAAAACTACTATGACCCTATAATATCAAATTTGTATTCCCTTTAATTTTGTTGATATGACAAATAAACATTTCGTCAAAAAATATCACAAAATTTCGATAAATCGTGGCGATATGACAATGAAAATCAATTTATAAGGAAGTTTTCAGCAAGTCTAATCCAAAAATACGATTTACAACGTTGCCAAATCTACATGTTGTTTATACCAAATCTTCCTAAGTATTTAGTCAAACTGCCTCTTCAAATTTTTTTATTTGTTTCTCGGGAAACTAATTCATAAACTTCTTGATAGCTTCTCATGATCAATAGGGTTTGATTTGTTTAGGTTACAAGAATGTAACTTCATGGCATCAAATAAAGTGCTCAATAATTAAAAAGGCAGTTTAAATAAATACTTAGGAAGATTTAGTATAAACAACATGTAGATTTGGCAACGTTGTAAATTGTATTTTTAGATCAGACTTCCTTACTATTTTTTATTGTCATATCGCCACGATTTCTCGAAATATTGTAATTTTGTGATATAAACAAAAATGAAGGGAATACAAATTTGATATTATAGGGTCATAGTAGTTTTGAGACGACAAATCGAATGAGCCTAAAATCAACATAGCATCACATTTAAAAAAATAAAGTTGAGGGCTCTATAGGAAAAAATGTAAGACTGGCAACGTTACAAATATTATTTTTAGATCCGGCACAACTGATTACCCCCGTATACCAAATTTCATAATTTTATGTAGAGTCGTTGCTGAAATATTCGGCCGTTCCGGTTCTTTTGGGAAACCCTGTATAGGTTATAATATAATGTAGGTATATTTCGGCAGTCTTTTCAAACATTTGAATTTGATAATTCAATAATTATTCAATAGATATATCAAATTTTCATTCAGTCCAGGGTTAGTTTTAATACTGCATTGTCGATAATAATTAATAATTGACCCATTCAAGGCTGATTACACAATTTTAATAACCATAAGAAGATAAAGTTTGATATTATCATCCCATCCGAAAACAAATGCACTTGTGATCTATCAAATGATAAAAGAACCACAAGAAAAATATTTGTTTGAAATAAAAAACAACGATTTTCAAGAAAAAAATGTGTTCCAATAAATCCATCAATCTTCTAAGAAAATTCCAAACGCTGATGTTGAAATTAACAAAAAAATCACCAGGATTATCAATACAAAAATACAATAATTATTGGTATAGTGCTTATATAAAATTTAAGTGAGTCTATGTTTATGTATAACTATAAATTATAGTTTCTGAAATGCATCATAAAAATACTTCGAGTCCAATTTGTTGATGTAAGTACAACTTGAAATGACATAACTACAAATAGAGCAAAAAAACTACTTCTTGTCCTATGCTACAGAAGAAATTTTGGCTTATACAGCATTTCCTGTATAAATAGAATCATACATTGAGAATCAGAATGTAAAAAAAAACTAGTTTTGAATGAGATGAATCGGGCTTTGTGGTAGTTAGGGCATTTCAAATTGAGAAGACAACTTTTTTGTTGAGCGTTTAGCTCAATATATATATAAATTCAATTCCGAATTTCTTGCGGATAGGTAAGTCCAGGTTTACACAGAGGTCTACACCCGTTTTGGTGATTATTTCCATGTAAAATGTCCCAGATGTGATAGACTATTAGGTCGATAGCCACTGCAAAAAAACTCCTTTCAGGTTAATTAATCCAATCGATAATTGAGTAAATGACAAGACAGCAACTTATACCGGGTGACGCAGTTATATTCTGACCCATTTCAAATGCTCATATCTCTGAAACCATTCAAGTAATCGTTGTGCGGTTTGGACTAGTCTATTTTGATGTTTTTCAAGTTTTTTTTGACGTGTTCATTTTCTCACTTGAACTTCCAACTTTTTTATTTACAACGTTAATTTGAATAGTTTCGGAGATATGAGCAGTTGAAATGGGTCAGAATATAACTGGTCACCCGGTATTTACTAGAAAACCACAAAGGAAATTTCGGTACCCACGAAAACTTCAATGGTTATATTATGACTCAAAATATTGAACCCTGTATGTTGGCAAACTGGAATAATTTCTGAATATGTTATAAAATGTATGTTTCGTGATTTTCTAGTAATGACAAATGGCTCTTGAATTGATCACCCGGTACTAAATAAACATCGATGACACACATGCATGCTCTTTTTCAATGTCTCATGATTCAGACATTGTGTGATGAGGCTATGACAACAGAAACTGTTCTCTTTAGTTCTCTCTACACATATAAACTGCTCAACACATAAAAGGTAAAATCGCATTATTTCGATCAAATTTGAATCACCATTACTTTCGATTGTCTCAACCGATTTTCGATTATTTTTTAGTTTCTGAAAGCTCGTTTCATTGACTATCGAACCTATGGATATGACTATTTCTTCTTTTCCGAATGAGATTCTACAGGATGATAATGAAAGCTGTGTATTTTTCCAAAATTTTCAAACGCCTCCCGTTTGAAAGAAAAATTTTTCAATTATTTTTTGGGGTCAGAAACATATTGCTTCATATGTTTTCTCGCCACTGTAAACAATTTTTTGGAATTGTCACACGCGTTACTGAAATATGAATATTTTGTCAAGATAATGCATGATTTGACTCTCTAATTTCTATTGGCTTTGTGTTCCTGTCAATGTGGTTCGAATGGTGGCCAACAATCTTGAAATGATGCATGATCAACCTATTTTTATATACAGGGTGGTCCTCAAACAACAATTATGACATCAAGTAATAAAAAAAAACCTTGTTTCGACGAGCAAGAAAATTTCGAAGCAGGAAACCGATTGAGAAGTTTTTTGACGATCAAAGCGTATAGGAGAGGTTTTCATCACCATGTCAAGTTGTTACAGAATCTATCGCAAGATCAAACCACTGGAATTGTTAGAAAAAAACGGATTTTCAGAGCGTCGTTCTCACTTTGTGATCAATTTTTAGACGATAATTTCAAGGAAAATGAAATAAACTGAAGAAATATACAGGATGTCGTCTAAATAACTGACAGAATTCATCACAATTGCAGTAGATTAACGAGTATCAGGATGTGATTTCATTTGCGGTGAACGTCTTCACAAATGACTTATATTGAATATTTGTGGAAATTCAAAAGAATGTGAGTCACATGGATATGTAATGTCCTGACTCAGAAAAAACATGAATTTTTCATATTGATGAATTACATCACAGTCACAATGTTCCAGTTATATGACTTTTCATCAATAACACCAGTTTAAATCACTCTCACGTTCAATTGAATTCTTAACAAGCAGTTGGACCACCCTGTATATAAGAATTGTTTGATCATGCATCATTTCAAGATTTTTGATCACCATTCGAACCAGATTGACAGGAACACAAAGCCAATAGAAATTAGAAATTATCCTAATAAAACATTCATATTTCAGTAACGCATGTGACAATTCCAAAACTGTTTCTACAGTATCGAGAAAACATATCAAGCAACATGTTTTTGACCCAATAAAAAAATAGAAAAATTTTTCTTCCAGACGGGAGGCGTTTGAAATTTTTGGAAAAATGCACAGCTCTAATTATCATCCTGTAGAATCTCATCCGGAAAAGATGAAATAGTCATATCCATATGTTCGATAGTCAATGAAACGAGCTTTCAGAAACTGAAAAATAATTGAAAATCGGCTGAGGAAATCGAAAGTTATGATGATTCAAATTTGATCGAAAAATGCAATTTTGTGTTGAGCAGTTTATTCAGTATGGTGGAAACGTATGGAATAAATTCATTATCTCTAACGCATAAGAATTTGAAAAAAAAAAATCCTGGAAAGGTCGATTTTTATTTTCAAATTGACACCTCTTGTTATACATACGGAGTTTGTAACGTCATCCGAGTAGTTGTGGAGAAAACATTATTAATTATTTTATATTTACAACGGAAACCGTTACAATATATGTTCGAATTGGTTACCTTCTGCAATGATACAATGTGATAGACGATATACATTGTTTTTGATGTATACAGGTCGAATTTTTCATTTATTGTAATTGTTTCCGTTGTAATTATAAAATAATTATTAATTTTTTCTCACCCTGTATTATTTTATTTTGCTAATATCAGTATATGGTTGGATAGACAATGAATATACCTTCCGAAAAAAAAAAGAATAGAAAGGAGATGTTTCCTTTTAAAAAAATAATCGATGACGTCACCACAACTACGCGGATGACGTCACAAACTCCGTATGTATATCAAGAGGTGTCAATTTGAAAATAAAAATCGACCTGTCTCAGTATTTTTTTTCAAATTCATATGCGTTAGAGATAATGAAGTTATTCCATACATTTCCACCATATTGTATAGATAGGGATTGATAAAGAATATTGGGTCAAGACTGGACAAATTGCATTGTGACTGGACACCAAGTGTACACTTATTGGACATAGAGGTTCAACCCTAATTGGTTGATCCAAAAACAACATGCATAATCGTTTTGCTTCCATTTTTTGAATTACAACAAATCAACAAAATCACTGAAGAAATATAATAATTTGGGAGTCATCAAATAAAAAAATAAAGGTATGCCTATGAATCCTATGTGTGTGAATCATGAAATTATTTTGCATGAAGAAATTGAGAGATCTGCATTAAAAAAAACCTGTCTTCATAGCCTCACCTAAGCAATAACATATGGCTGTAATTTAGACAAAATTTATACATAAATTTTTCATGGAAAATAATGATATTGCAGTGACTATCACCATGATGAATTAAAAATGAAAAAAGCAAAAGCATTATGTAGTACAAGAATCAGCAAGCTTTGAGACAGGATCAACTGCAGAGAGTTAAGGGCAAAAGCAAAAAGGAAGGGCAATAACCATGAACATACTACTTTTTCCCACAACTCACTTTACTGCCTCTGTGCCGGCAGTAAAATTGCTTTACAGGCAGTGAAATTGATGATTTACTGAGTCATTAAATGAATTGTACAAAACAACAACAAAGTACTTACTATTGAATGACTCATCTGAATTGTGAGAAAAATTAATGAAATTTGGTTAATTTCCGAAAATGTATTCAGGCTCCATGGATTTTTTTTTATTTTTGCTTCTGTATCTATATTTTGATGATTTAAAGCAGTTGAAAGGCTTTGGAGAATTCAAAAATTTCAACTGGACGATTTTATATACACAGGGGATTTTCTTCCAGTAATAATAAAAGAGTACTCACCACTATTGTCAGCTCCTCTAGGAATAATAACATCTGCAAATTTTTTGGTCTGAAAAGAATACAAAGTGTATTTTCTTTGGTTTTTCAAGATAGTGACAGATCAGAGATTAAAAAACAAGTTTATAAATGTTCTTGAATGATACATTTAAATGGACTTACTGGTGAACAAAATTCATCAAATGCTGGTTTTACAAAGTTCATGTACTGATTCAAAACTTGATCCAAATCACGTCCTCTCTCATTTATATCTCTTGGTACTGAAATTCAACCCGAATATATCATCAAAAATGCACTGAGTGTAGAATTATTGAATAATCAAGCAAGAAAAAACAACCAAGTTGCAAAAGCACATTTTGCTGTGAAGCTCCAGATATAAATGATATTCATCATTCATAATTATAGAATTCCTAGGAAAATATATCACAATGAAAACTGTATAGGTAAAATTGTTGTTCTTTAAATAAACTGATATCTAAAAATAGATTTGCTTATCAAAAATGCAACATCCTGCAATAAGTAAACAATATCAATCAATGTGAGCTTTATGGTCTCATCTTTAACAATGGCAATCCAGTGTGATATTCTGATTTCAGTAACATTTTTGTATCATTATTCAATCTGTTATCAGCCTTGGGTTTTCATAATAATTATTAACAATAATACCACTTGTTAATTATCATTATCCTAATATTATTTTGTTTACCTCTTCTAGCTAGTCTGGTGTCAGAGTCTGTATCAACAAACAGTTTCATGTGGAACAAATTTCTGACCTCTGGAAAATAAAATACCAAGATGCCTTCAAATAAGACCACATCTGCTGGGTAGATTGTCAAAATTTCATCTTTCCTTCTGAAAGCATTGTTAAATTGATGATAGGTACCTACATTTCTCTACTAGTTGGTGATGACTTACAGACTATGATGTCTATAATCATATGTGGGTATTTGAACCATTTTTCCAGCCTTGATATCAGTCAAAGTATCATATATCAAGGTTTCATTGAATGCATCTGGATGATCAAAGTTGAACTGCCCCTTTTCAGCTTTTGCAATTTCTGAGGTGGTCAATTCTCGGTAAAAGCTATCTTGTGATATACATACAACCTGTCTCTGTTTTTGATCCATTTCGACCTGCCCCAATTTCTCCATTATTCTTTTGCACACTGTACTCTATGATCCAAAATACATCGATAAATATCACACATAATGTTCAATCTAAACTTGCCTACCTTGCCACTAGCTGTGCCACCTGAAACCCCAATCAAAAAGGGGGTTTTACCGTCCGCACCATTCATTTTAGATAAACTGCTCTTAGTATCACTCATGGTTCGGGTCCACAGGAACCCGGATTGATAGTGAGCGATTCTTGCCAATAAATTGGCACCTTTTGAATATCGATTGCCCGAAAATCTTGAAATGCTTGCGCGCAAAAACATAGGTTATGTTTTTCTATATCATGACATTTCATCACTTCATCAGTCATCATCCATGCCAGTGTTGTTCCTGTGTCTGATTTTTTCGTAATAGATTTCCGTGGAAAAATGTAACAGATTTGTATCAAAAGGTAATAGACTCGAAAAATCTGACATTTGACATTCTGAATGTCATTCTTGTCAAACCCTATCGCACAAATCAGATAGTTTTAACAGAAATGAGTCAGAAGTCACACAGAACTTGACATCAATATCGAACATAGACCCATAGAGCAGAACATAATTATCCGCTGAACACAGAAATAGATTTTTTAGTAACGAAACATCATATCTTGGTGCTAACAGCAAATAGTAATAGATTCATAACAAATCGTAGGCCTGTTCGTTTGTGCTTGCTCTACCTGCTGAGCTTGATTTTTTTATGACTTTCTTTGTTTACATCATGGCATGAACAGAGACAACTATGGGAAAAAGATCAACTTTAGCCAGTTGAGCAATACAAAAGTAACGACAAGAACAACACTGCATGCATCCATTTGTACAAATCTGTTCTTGGCAATGTCTCCCACCCTTAGATCATACAAGAACTCCCACCTCGTACGGCAGCCTTAATGGTCCTAGCAAAAGCAGAAAATAAGAAAAAAGAAAACATACAATTTCGTCAAATAAACGAATTTGATAGAATCTGTAGCTATCAAACATACTGAACAAACTGGAATAGTAAAATTTCCACAATTAACTACTTACATCTATGTGCAATGCTGGTTGCATATGCGAAGTGGTCATTCGGTTCTAAATAATAGTTGTGCCTAGATCTTACGAACCATTCCTATCATGTGATATGTTGAGATTCGTGATTTTGACTTGCAATAAAATTGTGGAGGCTGAGTTTGGTCAGAGAGTTTTATTCTGATCCACTAATAGCATGACGTCAGCCTACTGTTATCATTTGTGTAGTGATTCAGGCCTTCCAGGATGATTTTCTTCCTCTCGAGACCCCGAGCCCCGAGGCTGTCGTTAATAATTATTCAAAGATTTTTAAGAGCGAATGCGCATGCGTACTTATTGTATCACGTGATTCAATGTGACCAATATGGCAATGAGGTTTGGGAACGGTTCGAAAACTTTAGGCTCCCGTTAAATAATCAATTTCTGACATTTTTTTAATTTTGTAGATTGTAGATCTAATTGATTATGTACGTTTTTTTCTTTCAAATTGTATCATCTTATAAACAAGGTTGACATTGAACAATATATAAAAATTGAGTTGAAATGTGTTCAAGTAGATTGAAAGTAGAAAATCTGCGATAGAAAAATTACTCAAATAAGTAGAGGAATGAGTGATTGAAACTATTTTGGAAGTAGGAATAATTTATGTACTCATCACTTCTTGTGTGTCACTGACAATAAGTTAACATTGAATCAATGATGAAATGAAGTGAATTGCAGGACGGTTTTTTTCTGTTTTACATGATATGCAATCGACCATAGAATATTACTTCTAGGCTCGTAGTTTATTGCAGTCCAATGATCCAAAGAATTTGTTCCACGAAAATAGACGTTTTGACAATTAGCCAACCCATGCATAGATGCATCACAATGCAGCGTTTTTTCTGCCTGCACTCTTTTTTTCTCAATTTCAGTTCTATCAGTTGGTGCCCCAATCCCTGTGAAAGCTGTTTATATAGACTACAAAGAACATAGGCATTTGTTTCGGTGGAATGCTTCTGTTTTTTGTGCAGATTTCACCCTAGAGATTTAAGGCCACCAATAATTATAATAATAATTCACCAGGGCGTATATTATGTATAGGCCAGCTGGTTTTGGTTGCGTATTGTAAATTACCCCAAAGAAAAAATCACTTTTAGCACCCAGAAGCGAGGTCGTGGCCATTCTGTTGGTACTTCACGATATCTAACGCGGAAATAATAATTCCTCCTTTTCATTATTTCAAAGTTCTTTAAAGTGTTGTCAAAAAAAAAAAGAATGATATAATATATTGTGTATTCATTTTGTGATCTTATATACTTAAAATGAATTTCCTATTCATTTTCCGTATTTTCCAAAAGAAAACCACACCTTTTTGGATAAAAATATTTATAATCGTATTTTCATTCAATTGCGAGAAAAATCCTCTTGTGAAGACGTATTTCAATCACTAGAACAATAGTTCATATTTTGGTGAAGGTGCTGGTTTGATATTAGCATTTATGTTTTCAAGTAGTTATTCACTATATATATATATCAATGTTTACTACTTTATTCTTATATTCTATTTAGAATCTTATTGTATCATAAACTATACTGAAAACATGCTTCATGATGAATTAAGTATCATTTCTATAAATCATATGTACAATTTTAAATATTGTTACATTTCTTGTTCATGTTTTTATATAATGTAATGCTTTTGACATTTTTTTATATTTCTCCTGCATGAATTATTTGTTCTAACTTTCAAAGAAATTCTTGCTTTATAAATGATGTTATTTATCTAGCCCCTATTTCCTGAATACACTAAGCATACAGTAAATAAATTACTTTGCCATAAATTCAACAGAAAATGTCGATTACCTATAATACTGGTGATAGGATATTGTCTGAAAATATTGATGAAATATCTATCAGGGTAAACAAATGTTTTGTTGAATATTTCCGGCCATCTGAAGACTTAATTCAAAGAAATATTGTGTATGTGAAAACTTCACAAACGATAAGATTTCCACAAAATTCTTATACACCCAACATGTTTCGCTAACACAGTAGCTTCGTCAGGTGATATACTGGTAAAATGAACAGTTCATTGTCACCTGATGGTATATAAGTTGCATGGATGGAAACTTATTGAGTTATTGATGATCAAAGTTTATCAAACCAAAATACCGCATCTTCTCTCTCTAATCAAAACTTCCAAATGCAGTTACACAATATACAAATCAGACAATTCATGATGACAGAAATGTCAAATTGACGTTCATATGCCGTCAATTGTCCATGCATGGCATACTATACCTTTGTAATGCTAATAATGATTTGGATCGAGACATCGACCGCCTGAAGCACAATTTCAAGAATGATGCTCTAGAAGAATGCGTTCTTTGATAAAAATCATATATTATTATATATCATGGGAGCAAAGATTCATTTCCTCCCTTGTGTGTTCAATATCCCGAGGTTTCAGCAGAGGGGTATGAAGTCCCGTGGCAATAATATTCTATTATATTAGTGATAAAGAGACTGATTACTTGAATTGCACAAATTTTATAGCTATATCGACGCCAAAGGATGCATGCTGAAGCCAATTTATTTTACCTCCCATGGGAGTTATTATTTGTTTCCTCCCGTGGGATTAAATTGACAACTTCGTTTCCTTGAATGGGGAAGCAAACGCCTTCTTTCGATTCAGTGAGTAGATAAATAACTATTATCTTCCATTCAAATTCGCGGTTACGTAAATTACTAAACAACCACTAAATTCGCAATTTTTTTAAATCAAATGACAGGATTAGACTAACAGATATATGATTGCTTCAAAAGAGTGATGAAGATATGCCTGCAACGCAGGTATATCATTCCTGTTGAGAACTTCGAAATATCATGTCGATAAATCTCTGATTTCAATATAGGTAATGTAAAATCTCCACAATATATTGATTTGTCCTTTTTCCTGTCACAGAACATGATAGTGTATTATACACGGGAAACATATTGGATTTTAGCTCGCGGACATAACCTGGAGCTAAAATCGACTACTTTTTCCCTAGTATAATAATAGTAGATTGTTTTATTAGGATCAAAAGTGACACTTTGTTTGACAAGCGAATTTTGCATTTGCGAGGCGGAGCGTTTAGCAAAGCCGAGCGAAAGCAAAATCTGCGAGTCGAACAAAGTCACTTTTCATCCGAATGAAACATGCTATTTTTTCTGCAACCAAAACAATTAACTCAAATAAATATGTGAAACAACCACCAATGCCGTCCCATATGAATGCAATGCAAGAAATATTGACAAATAATCCGTGTGGTGAGAATATTCTACCTGCATTAACAGCAGGTTTATTCAATTTTCAAGGATGTTCGAATTATAGTTTCAATATAAATACAACCACAGAGTGACATATTTGTTCATGGACCAGGTGCTCGGTGCTCTAATGGCAAATACCGCGCCAGCATATCAACAATAATAGCGATTATTTATTCCTCTCCATACAACACTGTGTTTGGCTTGATAATCAAATGAAGCTAAACGATATCGTTGTTCGAGACAAAAAACTATTGCTTGCCGTGAATATTCAAAAACAAGTTTTCCATCCCGAGAATAACGAATGAAATACAGTACAGCAAGTATATGTGAATCTTGAAGGCTTCCTTGATCAAAACAAAAATACTTGACTGAAATGTTCATAATTCCAATAGTTAACTATAATAAGGTGTATTCATATCTCCAGTATGGGTATGAAATGCCAAGTTTGCCGAAATCGGAGACAAATCAAGTATGCGTCCCAACCCAAATAACCAACCGTAACAATGTTGATGATTCTTGATGGCATCTACTACATCTATTTTAGTTCCTAGGAGCTAAAGTTCAACTCTAGCTCCTAGGAACTCAAGTTCAGCTTTAGCTCCTAGGAACTAAATATGTTGCCTAGTAACATGCCTATTTTTTTGTCAGTAATGGAAACGTCAATTCAAGAGCTAATTTTGGTATCAAAATGGTCGATTTTTGTGTCAGTTGCATAAAATAGTGTATTATACACGGGAAAAATATTAGATTTTTGCTCACGGACACAACCTGGAGCTAAAATCTAGTACTTTTTTCCCTAGTATGATAAATAATTATTTTTCATGATGCTCCCAGTTCCAAGGCAGTTAGTTTATTCGAATTCAGAACAAGATCCCTCCGATTCGCGATTGTGGATCGCCGCTGCTCTTCTCAACATATTAAGAGGACGAAAAGTAATAAACGGTTTAGCACCGTCCCACAAGGAAATATTTCACGAACCC